CATCCCATCCCATCCCTCATCCCATCCCATCCCTCATCCCATCCCATCCCTCATCCCATCCCATCCCACCCCACCCCTGGCCGCAGTGACACCCACGCTGGCCACAGCGGGGGCCGTCCCAGCCGGGGGGACAGTGGCACTGGCCCGTGGCATGGTCACAGCGGGCGCCGTTCAGGCAGTTGCAGGCTTCCCGGCACTCCAGTCCATAAAATCCCTCAGGACAGGCTGCAGAAAACAAAGGAGAAATCCCCACAAAATGCCTCTCCAGAGGGGTGGGAATGTCCCAGCGGAGAAGAGATGCCTCTTGGCGCCAGTTCTGCCAATAACCCGCTGCCCGGCGTGACAGCCCCCAGCTAAGGGCTCTGCCCCGGAGTGGAGCAGCCCCTGCACGTCCACTGCGGCGCCCGAGGCGCGGGACAAGGCCGGGGGGCAGCAGCAGAACAACCACGTTTGGTTTCTGACCAGGAGACTGAGCAGGCTGGGGGGGGAAACCCCAACTCTGCACCCGGGGACCCCTCAGACACGCCGCTCCCAGACCCCATGTGCAATGTGTGCACACAAGCGGGCGACCAAGGCAGCTCTGCCTTTACTCCTCATTGACATTTTGTTAGTCCATTTGTTGTTTTTTTCCTAGACCTTCCCCTTCCGAATTAAAACCAGAGATTTCGCAGCTTGTGGACACGCGGTTTTCCCCATCCCCATCCCGACGGATTCTCTTTGCCGTAACAGCACAGCAAAGTCGGACAAGGAGGCTGACCCCTCTGGCAAGGAGCCCCGGGCCTGTGGTTGCCGCTGGCGGTGCTGGGTCCCGCAGGTACTTACCGTGCTCACAGAAGGTTCCTCGCCAGCCCGGGCTGCAAGTACAGGCCCCACTCACGTGGTCACAGGCGGCTCCGTTGTCACACTGACACCGGTGCTGACAGCTCAGCCCGAACCATCCTTCCGGGCACTCTAGCAAGCAGAAGCAAACCAGACTGATAATCCTGTCCTTTCCTGGCGTCCCCACAAAGCTGGGCCAAGGCAGGAGCTCAGGATGTTTTTTTTATAATGACCAGCGGGCTCTACCCTACCCCTTACAGACGTGGACCCGTCACCCAACCACCCTCAGGACGGGACGGGACTGGCCACAACACAGACAGGACATGGGGGCTGAATTTCTGTGACTGAACCAAGAAGAGCTGTGGAAGAAATCCGCATCCGTGGCTTCCCCCACTCCCTCTGCAGGGAGAAGCCTCCCGGCCCGCCCGTCTGGTGCCTTTCCCCTGGAAATCAATCTGTGTGTCGCGGCTGGGCTGGGGGGCACAGGGCAGCCCGCGGCAGCACTCACTCCTCTCGCAGCGGCCGCCGGTGTAGCCAGGGTCGCAGAGGCACTGCCCCGTCTCGGCGCTGCAGCTCCCGTCGCTGTTGCTGCAGTTGCAGGCGTGAGCGCAGTCGGGGCCCCAGCGCCCGGCGTCGCAGGCTGGAACGGAGGGACCCGACCCGTCACGGCACGAGCAGAGGCGCCGGCACTGGGCGGGTTATTGCCAGTGTTGGGGTGGAAGGAGAAACGCGGCGGCTGGTCCTCAGGACACCCGGCGGGACAGTGAGAGCGGGGGCTACGTCAGCACAAATTTGATGCGAATTCATTCTGCAAGCAAGCCCGGTGCAGAAAAACAAGCGGCACCCGGCGGGGCAGAGCGGAGAAACCTCAAGGATTTCAGAAAGATTTTTCTGGCAGAGGCACAGCACGAAGATGAGAACGAAGCAAGCGACAGCGCAGCTCTGCACCGGCCGGCGTCTGCTACAGGTAAGGCCGCAGGGACAGCGGTACGATACCTCTCTGGCAGTGAGGCCCCGTCCAGCCCGGTGCGCAGCGGCACGTCCCCGTCGCAGGATGGCAATGTCCCTCGTTCCCGCAGCTGCAGCTCTGCTGGCAGTCTGGGCCAAACCAGCCGGGCGGACACGCTGCCAAGGGACACACGGCCTCAGGGCCGCGCTGCCGTAACGCCCCCGGCACCCGCACCCCTCGGCCGAGCGCGGGCGCTCAGCTCTGGGCTGAACGAGGGGCTCAGGGTTTTTCCTCCCTTTCTGCTGATGCAAAAGTTACCTCTAGCGCTAGAGGGGTTTCAAGGGAAGCACGCAGCCCGTGCCTCGAGGTGCGAGGCAAGGAGGCGTGCGTGGTGCCGAGCCCTGCCCTGACGACAGCCGGGTGCTCTGCTCGCAGAGCGGGTACCCCAGGCCACCCTGAATAACCCTCGCTGCGGCCGAAGGGCCATTCCGGCGCGAGGGACACGGCGGCGGCAGCACTCACCGTCCTGGCAGCGGCGGCCGGTGTAGCCGGGCGGGCAGAGGCAGGCTCCCGTGGCGGGGTCGCAGCTGGCGTTGTTGGCACACTCGGGACATATCTCCTGGCAGCCCTGTCCCCAGCGACCCTCGGGGCAAGCTGGAGCACGGGCAGAGAGAGGGGACACACAGGCCTCGGGATCATGGCCGGAGCGCA